TTAATTTAAATTGCCTGCGATGCGCTTTAACCTTGACAATTTTTTTTTTTGTGCAACCACTTCCACGAGTAGTACTAAAAGCATTTGTGTTTCCATTATTATTATTATTTTTGTTTTTGCGTTTGCTTTTGGTCAACTTCTTTGCGCACAACGCAGGCATCACAATCTCAAGCTATGCTTCATCGCGCCGCAATTCCAAGAAATTGCAGGTGACTCCTTTTAAATGGTTTTTACTGTTGCTTTTATTGCTTGCTGCGGCTATGTTGTTACTGACTTACTGCGCTCCGTGTTATTTATTGTTGTTATTGCCATGTTGCATACCTGTGCAAGCAAAGCGGTTTGGGTTATGTGGCATGTTGACGCTTGATGTTTGGGTACATTCGTGCTAAGGGGCTAAGGGGCAACTGGGAGGGATGAGCACTCAGTTACGGATGCGTTTCCGCGAATTTGTTCAATCATTAGAAACCAATTCTCAAATTCGTACATCAAATGTTGTTGTGGTCTGAATGAAGTCAGCTGAATTTTGGGTATCGTATTGAGAGTTGCAGTTTTCGTTTTGAGTTGAGTTGAGTTAAGAGGAAAGTGAATTTTTGCTGCAACGCGTGGCATGTACAGGGTGTTTACTTTATTCGAATCCTCAGGCTGCGGATTTTTTGCTATAAAATTTTAATTTTTTTAATCTAATTTGATTTAGTTTTTAGAAACTGCCTTTATGTATTCTTTCTTTTTTTTAATTTGTTGTTTTTTTACTTTTTTCTTTTTTCATAATTTTTAGATTAGCTTCTTTTGAAAATGTTTTTTTTTTTTGTAATTCAATGTAATTTTTAGGAAGTTATTTGCTTTTTTCAAATAAGGGTTTTTCTTTTTACAATTAAATTTTCTTTAAATTTTTAAATATTATTGTTTTAATAAGAACATTTTTTCTAATTTCATTTAATTTTTAACCGCTGTGTTTGAGTGGTTAGAGGTGCGCACCCTCAGGGTTCGATCGCTGGTCCGAGCAATATCTGAACTTGAAAAAAAAAATGTTTCCTAACAGCGGTCTCCCTCTGCTGGCAATGGCCAACCTCCGAGGGTATTTCAGCCATGAAAAAGCTTATCATGAAATCCATTTGTCATTCGGAGGTGACATTAAAATGTAGGTCACGCTATTTGCGAGACAACGTCAAGACGTACACCACAAATTGAAGGAGAAGCTGGGCCAAACACTTAGCATAAGTGGAAGCGCCAAAATATTATTATTAGTTTTTAGAAACTAATTTTATTTAATTTTTATTTTATGTTTTTTCTTATTTTAGTTTAGTTTTTTTTAGAATCTATTGTTTTTTACAGTTTTTTTTTTAAATTTCATTTTATGTTATTTAATTTTATATCTTTTAAGTAAATTTTTTTATGGATTTATATGTTTTTTTTTAGTTCTTATTTATTCTTTGATTTTCTATTTTATTTCATTTCATATTTTGAAACCTAAAAGGCTAATATTACGTTCAAATTGGCCTCATGTAACTTGTTAAATGAAAAAGAGCTTTTTGGAAAACGCAATCATCCACATTGAACATTTGGAGTTAACTTTGGCGGTTGTTTGATTACCAATAAAAATTCGAAACAAAAAAATTCAAAATCAAGTTTTTGTGTTTCAATTTGTTTTGTGCGAATGTCTGCTTCATGATATTTACGCACACGGATTAATTAGAAACTTCAAAATGTTTAGTTCGTATGCAGTATTTATCTCTGCGTACGATGAGACCTCATGGGAAATAACTAATTATCGCCTTTGATATTTTTTGATAATTTTTAGTTTTTAATATTTTTCAGAATATACATTTTTTGAACGTTGGCTTGTCAAATGAAAGCTTTTGGGTCTTTCTGATTGACCGGAGCAGAAAGCTTTCTGATACAACTCTGCGCTGAACTGGTTTTCAAATGAGTTAAATGATTTAATTGGTTCAATTTTCCAGCAACAATTGCTCGCGATTTAACTTGTTTATGAACATGTTTTATTCATTTAACTAGTTTAAGCCCATTTAACATGTTAAGCTCGTCAATTTGAACGTAGTACAACAATGCGGCCTTTGAAAGACAGAAAAGAGCTTTCAAGAGTGTTGCCAGAATTGACAACTGTTTTATAAACGAATTTCCAAAAACTATTTTCGAGTTGAAGGACAGTGGCCAGAATTGCCTTGTAATGCTGGCGATTATATTCGGCAGGACGAATAACATGTCCGACAGTCAGGCAGCACTGGAAACCTAACACTCCATTAAAGCTACCTCAAGGCTTAAGCATAGCTGCAGGCTTTTGACAATGCATTAAGTCGTCTGTCATCATAAGTATGAGAAAAAATAAAAAAAAAATTAAAAAAAACATTACAATCAAATAAATTTCGTTGTGGTACACAGCTAAACAAAAGCCAGTGTATGTATGCTATAGTGAAGATTTTTTACACCAAACATAAATTCATTTTAATTGGTTTCGATTTTTTCTTAGTTTTTGTTTCTTATGAGCTCGACTCGAATGCGCCGCGTTGACATAAAATCTCAAATATTATTATTTCAACTCTTTGCCACACCAGCCAGCAGTGTGTGAATAAAAATATCCATATTTATACATTTCATTTTTAATTTATTAAATAAATATTTGGTCGCCTTGCGCTTACTTAATTTTGTATAAGCTCATTGTTCGTATGTGCATATGCTGTGTACATATGTATGTATGTTTGTATTTATGTAAATTAAACGAATTCTTAGAACGTCGATTCACCATCACTGACTTCAAGTTGCATTCGATAGAAGAAAAAAAAAAACACTTTAATAATTGTTGGCTTTCTGTTTATATTATTAATTGCCTGCATTTTTTTTAAAGCAAGCTTCTCTTTAAAACACAAATTTTACTAAAAAATGCTGTTGATGGACATGCGCATGTGCAACTAGTTCGAATTGCATTAAAAATAAATCGACTAAAAAGTGGCAAGATAATAAAAAGGCCGTTTAAATTGACAGTTTGTTTAACTTGTGGTTTTATTTGCTACCGGACTAGGACTATGCGCAAAGTTCTTCGTTTTCCAGAGCCCTGACATTCTGATTTTTTGTAAGTAAAGATCAATGGGAATAATATTGAGGACGACTTTCGTCTGTCTTCTTGAAGGTCGCCATGTGTAAGGCCATTGGCCTTAAGATAACGGTTTACATCATAAGTTTCAGTTTCAATCCACAGTTTCTACTGTGCGCCTGAAAAAAGTAAGTTTCAAATGCTCAAACAATTCGCCGAAGTTAAAAACTTTGATTTAATATAATTAAGTTTGTGTGGCATACTTTTTGGCGCCTGAGTTTTATAGCTTCATATCGGCGAGTTTTGTAATTTTGAGGGAATACGGCTGTAATGTACACTAGGGTGGTCCTTTACTGTAGGAAGCTAATTTTTAAATCAGATTTCCCAAACCTTAAACCGATTTTGGTTCCGATGGGAGTCGGTTAAGGCATGGCGCACTGGGGTCAAAATTCTGATTGCGCTTTGAAGACTCAAAAAACTAAATAATTAAAATGAAGACTCAAAAAAATAATAATAAAAAACTAATAAAAAAAAAAAAATTTAAAAATTTTCTGAACCACTGAATTGGTACAACTGTAGGAAATTATAATAAAAGGATAATCGGAACTTTGGCAAAAATTTATGTGTAATATCTTCGCCTATAGGAGTATCGATTTCGGGTATTAAATTGAAAAGAAATTTTTGTTTAAATTTTTTAGAGTTTCCATAGAAGAATCTGACCTTTGGGCGATGCGTCTTAACCGACTTCGACTATAGTTTTGGAAAAAAGCTTACGCTGATATCGATAAAACTATCGAAAACTACACCGATAATAATATCGATAATATCGAATTGATAACACCATCAAAAAAAATCACAAAATGCCCTAAACTTTAATCGATTTCAAAATAGCAATAATAACAGCGATTAAAATATCAATAACGATAAACACAGCGATAACTTTGATGTATGTATTAATCAATCTCTACTATCGGAAAAGATGAAGACAACGGTAACAATATCGATAAAATTTCATTTAACGGTTTTAACAATGCTAAATATAAAAAAAAATCGATAACGAAATAGTGATAACTACAGTGATAGCAATTTCGATAACGATAATAACAACAATAATGACAATGTGTCGCTCATTTACTGCTCGAAAAAGGGGAAATAAAAATCGATCTACTGTTTTTCCCGATTGCGAATTAGCAATTATGGAACTATCGATAAATGCAGCAATAAAAATATAAATAATATCTAGTTAACGGTATAGATAGTTGTAAAAATGTTAATGAAGACCACAATGACTGTGTTGATACTATCGATTTGTCGGCATCGATAATGATATCTACATATAGGGTGAGATTCTGTAGCCAGTTAGCGATCCGAAAATAATCACTAACTGGTTACAGAATCTCCACTTTGTATGTATATTTATATCGATAAAAATAACGATAAATACCGCGATAGCAATATATAGAGTTCTTTGCAAGCTTCATAAGTATATTTTAGTTCTCTTCATTTCTATGGACATGTTTTGATTCTCTGTTCTTATCATGAAGAAAATCCGTATGGGGTAAGGCAAATGGAGACTCGAATGCTGAAAAAAACTTCCTCTCAATTGGTTGGTGGCTTTACATCGTCATACCTGAGTGGCTATTCGGAAACGAACTAAACTTGCCGATCCCACTGGGCAAGTCTATAAAATCTCCGCCCTCTAAATAAATTCAGTACTCAAACACTTACACTTCCCCAATAAACTGGTATGAAAAATGTACCTTAGCATCTCCAAATCACTTAGTCCAAACCACTGTGCTCCAAATAAATGCACTTTTCCTATATACATATTTTAATTTCGCCTGCTTAGAAACCACACTACACAAGCAGTCTATGACGTTGCTTATACATATAAAATGAATTTTATGCTTTCAATTTGCATTAATCACTTTTTACGTTTTCATTTTCATTGCAGCTTTTCACCGCATGCGGACGTGCGTGTACACATAAAATATCGGCGACAAAAAAAAAATCGTAAGCGATTAGCGTGTGTTTGCGAGCAGCGGCAATAGCAGCAGCAGCAGCAGCAACTATTTGAAGCACAAACGAGGGTAAGAGTTACCATTCAAAACAAAACCGAACCTTTGCTATTGCGCAGGCGCAGCACACGTGTCTCGAGTGAAATTGCGTAGTAAAACGTGTGCGATTCTGTAGCGTAGTGTTGTAGTGTAGCAGAGCGGAGAAGTAAACAGGGAGCAGGGAGGGCACATTTTGGTGCAACGCACGCCGGCGCTAGCAAGCAATTTAAATGCGAAGAACGCCCAAAAGCAGAAAATCAACAAAATTGGAAAATTCCCTTTGGCATTATCAGAAATTCTTCAGAGAACTCAAACAACGACGCATAGAATTTATGCAGCAAAAAATTTATCGAAAATTTCGTTTTGGCATAATTTATTCAGATTGCTTAGTGGCTGCAGAAGCAGAACAACAACAACAACAACAACAACAAGAAACCAGAAACACAGTAACGCAAGCGCAAGCGCAGACGCAGACGCAGTTGCAAAAGTTGAAGCTAAAACAAGGGCAAGTGCAAGTTGGAGTGGCATTTGAAGCAATTAACTGCTCGTATACGCAACACGCTGGTCAATTGCGCGGCACGAAACGCAATCGCGTGAAAAAAGCTACAAATACGACGACGACCCGGAAGTTTGCCGCAAGCAGCACAAAAACAGCGAACGCCGCATACAGGAAGCTCCACAACAGCCAGTCAACGGCGGCAAGCAACAAGCTAAGGAGCAGAACGTCAGCAACAACGGATACGGATACGCAGACGCAGACGCAGACGCAACCGCAGCCGCAACCGCTAACGAAACGCAGGTACGGAAATAGGCGCACAAAGCTTATGCCGACATTGGCGTACGCCTTGCGAATGCCATTGAAGCCAACGACGAGTGCAGCGCAGCGCATGTTGGTGAATGTTTGAAAGAGGAGAAGAAGAAGAGGAAAGTTGAAAAGAAGAAAGCAAATTTTGGCAAAGAAAGGACACTAGAGGAAATTGAAAGCGAGAAATTTGACATTTTTTTTAACGAGGAAGAATTAAATAAAAGAAAGGCAGAAAAAATTGCCAAACGCCAGCCGCAATCGCCCACTTGGATGGCTGGCTAACACCAGCATAGTTGCCGTTTTGGATTTTGGAAAAATCGTCGAAATTTAGTGGCGGCCAACGTTTGAGATTTCATTGCTGGTCAACAACAAAAACAACAACAAACAAACAAGCAAAAAAGAAAAATAAGCCTTCAACTACATTGGGCTTGACAAAAAACCATTTGGCTGTTTTTACACACACACATATACGTAAACCTTATTTACTTAGTTTTATCGTTTTGTTCCGGTTACTTGCAACAAGCAACAAACAAACGTACATACGTCGTTTAATTTGTTAATTTTTTGGTGATAGTGCTTCAAAAAAAAAAACAAAAACGAAGGCATTTAATTTTTAATTAATTAATAATCTTAACTTAATATAATTCAAAATGGATCCACAGCAACAATTTTGTTTAAAATGGAACAGCTACTCGTCCAATTTGGCAATAACATTCTCCAATCTATTCAAATCGGACGTTTTGGCGGATGTGACATTATCGTGTGATGGTGAGTTAAATTACGATTTTGTTTTACTTTAATCTTTAAGCGTGATTTACACTGGACTTTAAAGTGTCAAACAATTTTGTTACTTAAACAACTTAAGAGTATGAGTTTATGCTCAAATTTGTCATTCAAACTGTTGTCATTTAATGGCTAGTGGAAATCGGGTATTATGCTGAATATCAACTAGATATTGGACCTTATGAAAAAGAAACTGAGAAACTGTTTTTTTTTTTTAGTTTCTAATCTTTAACTTACCGCCCTATTCCCACAACACTGACAAAATTCATCATATGACTATTGTCCCAATTACTGCGCCTAAAACACAATATAAACATTGTTTCGCCGTTGTCACTTACTTAGTAGGTCATAACAATAAAACTGACAATTGTCATACGACAGCTTAAAATAAATTTGCGGCGCAGTAGTAAAGGCAATAGTCAGCCGCTGAGTTTTGTCAGTGGTGTGGGAATAGGGCGGTTAAATTGTTTGAATAAATCGAGTAAAAGGTCTAAAATTTCAAGAAAAAGCAATTGCTAGATTTTTATTCATAAGCCCCATTGAAATGACAAAAATTGTGTGCCCTTTAACAAATATTATAGGAAACGAACTTAATGGGTCGTATACATAAAGCCTTAGCAAACGTTCTTTCTCAAAATTTCAGACCTTTTACTCGATTTATTCAAACAAATTTGAGTAAAAGGTCTGAAATTCTATGAAAAAGCAATTGCTTATTTTTTATTAATAAAGCCCATTGACTATTTATATCAGCGTGATGGCGAATTTCCACTAGGCATAGAAATGACAAAAATTACGAAACATTTTCTACTATTAAACCATTGGCATGTGGAAACCAACTTCAGAAAACTGCCTCTAATGACTTTTATTTTTAAGGATTAACGCCGGTTTTTAAATTCGGCAAATTAGTCATTAAATGCCCAGTGGAAATCCGGGCATTTTTTGGAATCCTTTTCAATAGTAGAGTTCGGCGTCGTGTAGACTGGATTCTTAAATTTAGCAGGGAAGATTAATAGCATTTTTGAGTGACAGTTTCCTCTAGATTATTTAGTTTTGTTCAATTCGAAAAACTTAACTATAAATATTAAAGCCTTTTTTCATTTTTTGTTATGTTGAGTAATGACGTTTTTGCTATCAAGCACCCTTACAGGTCTATTATACACGTTACCGATGATTTTGTAAGCGGAAAATTTTCTTACCAAAAATTTCTACCTCTTGTCACCGCGATTCTATGTACACTGCCGGCTAAAAGTATTGATACCGAGATTTTTAAAATAACTACAAAAAATTGTGTACTAATTCTTTAGGGTAATTTTTTTTATCAAAATGTAATTTCTAACCAGGAAAATTCAGTATACTTTCATGCAAATTTTCAACTTTTTAATCAGATTTTTTATAATTTTTTGGAGTATGCAATTTTGTAGCCGAATAAATTTTGTTATAATAAAGTGCAAGTTTGGAGCAGCTAGGACTTACCGTTGATTTTTGGCAATTTTTTTACGCAGTTCATCCCATACAAAAAAAAAACGTTCAAAAATACTTTGTATGGAAAAAATGTGAAACACCTTCAACAAAAATAATGCCGAAAAATCAACGCAATTTTTGACTATAACTTCAAACTTGAATTTTTTATACTAAAATTTAATGGGCTACAAAACTGGAAACTGATTAAAAATTTGCATGAAAATTTATTGAATTTTCGCGAGTTTTGCACGAAGTTAAGAAATTATATTTGTATGTTTTGTGGTGTAGAACGAATCATATTTGTATAAAAAAACTAGCGGTAAAATATAATAACAATTTTTGCAAATACATATGTATCTGCATATTGTGAAAAATTCTCTACTGCAGTCAAAATATTCAGCAATTTAGCTATATGTATATGAATTTGTGAAAATTCTGGTATTGCATATTTAAAGGAGCAATAATTTGCATTCAGCTTAAGAGATGGTAGGAAAATTGACAAGAGCGCACAGAATTCGAAAATGGTTTAAGAATGGACAGGAACTTATTTAATGGTTACACAATTTTTGTGTTAGCAGCGCAGAATAGACCTGTTTGTAGAAATACTTTGCGAGATTCCTTCACGATTGGAAGTACCAGTTTTCAATTCGTCCACTGCAGTTTCCAGAAGGCTTCCCTGTTTTGAAACGACAAACGCGAAATTAGAAATAAATTTTTTCACTCAAAGCAAGAATAGAAAGAAGTAAGGTATCACAGAGGGTCACAATTACGCAAAGCTCTTTAGGTACTATTTAATAAAAGGATTCACAGGATCACAGATTCTTTTACCAGTTTTAAAAATACCTACCTAAATACCAGATAATTGATATTTTTCTTCGAAATAATCTCGATTCTAATCTTTGTTTAGAAATATTTTCTTACTACGAAAAGTCTTCTTAAATTTATTTACTAAAAAATATTTCTGCGAAAATCACCGTAGGTATATGGTTTAATTTCTTGTCCATTTACATACATACACACGGTTTGATTCATTCAAAAAGAATTTTTTCTCCATTCATACATATACATAAGTTGTGACTCACATTTCGTAGAGTTTGTCACTCATTCAAATAAACACAAAAAGGTAAAGAACAGTGCGAAAAGAATTGCCAAAAATACGGCAAACAAAGTAGTAAATAACAAGTGTTTGTGAAGATATGTACATCGATATATTGTATGCATGTTTATCGATATGTTGTAGTATATATGTATGTACAAATAAATAACCAAATAAAACCAGAATAAACAACGAGTCATTATCAATGGTACCGGCGAATTCCAAACAATAACTAATAACAAAAACAAATACGTATTATAATATCTAATAATTCGCAATATTTGAAAGAGACGCAGCATTTGAAATATTTTGTTGAGATTATGTAGTCGGTTTGTTTGAGAAGTAAACGCCCTTTATGGTTAAAAAGAAGCGAAAATAATAGTCCAATATTTCGTACCGCATGGATTCCTTACGGACAGTACCCGGTCAGGGCCCCTTAGAGAGTTGTCGACTAGCCAGCTTCAGAAGCTCCTTTGGGCGCCCGCGGTTAAATACGGGTCAGAAAGACCTCATTTTCGCCCAGCGCTTATATGTAAGCCCATCTGTCCAGAAACGGTCTATACCCACAAGAACTCCTATTCACCTGTCTGGAGAAATGATCTGAAGATTGATCTGCTTAGCCAATACATCAGTGGTACAATTTTGAGCGATGGCACTGCTCCTCGAATCCGAATCAACGTGATTTAGCTGTAATCCGAAACGATGGAGAGAGTTTTCAGGCATTGCCCGTCCTATTTCGATCGTCAGAGTAGATACATACATACATACATAGTTATTTGCAGTCATAATCGATCTGATGTATGTACCCCATCCAGTGAATTACCTCTTTTATAGCTGATGAAAGTGGCTGACCAGACCTCCTATAACTTTACCATCCAAATTGGACCTATCCGTAAAGCTGTTAACTGGACATATCTTGCAGGTGAGAGTTGGATCTCCCATTCAGAGCTTAGTCATAGTATACAAGTGCTCATACGCTGGGTTGATTACGGGGAAGCTTTCCTCTGACGATGAGGATACGTTAGCAGCGCTGGCTGTGACCCAGCGCGCGCTCTTTTTCAGCTCCTCTAGGACGTCGTTGATGATGACGATCAACAGAAAGGGTGAGAGCATGCCACTTACGGAGTAACTCTACTCTTTAACAAATCTCTCTCTTGAAACAAATTCAATAGCATACAAGTCACATGAATAATGTAAACGAGTGAATATTCTGTTTGGCTCAATCATGTCAAATCCATTTTATTGTTAACACATATTTCTATGTTCCTCGTCGGGATACACTAACTTTTTGGAAGTACGAAATCAGTGTTTGCAACAAAATTTTCATTGTGCTTTTTATTGATTCCATTTTATTGATTTGTTTTCATATTTATATACTTGTGTACGTGTTTACAAACATTAGGGTGCCTCACCAAAAATAGTTGCAGTTTTTCCACCGGAACTAAAAAAATGTATTATATTTTAAGATTTCCGTCAAAATATATCGGATAAATATTAGGATTTAGGTGAGCTACTCTGTTTTGAAAATACCACCAGAATTGTCATTATTTTGATTCAATTGATACAATTTTTTAACATTTTTATGCAGGCATTTCAAGCTTAAACTCTTCTATCAACTGAGGTGATTTTTTGGAAAAAATATTATTTATCCACAAAAAATAAAGTAGTTTTGCAAAAGGTTTATAAATTGAAAAAATATATGAAAACGTAAATTTATAAAGCCTTTTAAACCTACTTTATTTTTTATGAATTGGGACGTAATATAATAAAAAAAATCGATTTTTGGCTAAAGTCTTATTGCCGGCAATTTAAGTGAAACATGTTTTTTTCTCTTCTGTCAGTTTTCATATAAGATTAAAAAAAATATAATAGTTAATAATTTTTCACTTAAACTTCTTTCGTGAAACTGGGAATAAAATAATTTTTATAATTAAAATGAAAAATAGTACTGATTTAATTTTTGTATGCAGTGTGATGCACCCTAATGTTTACATTTGACTTTTCTGCTTTCTACGTAGTACATATTTAACTTTGATTACCAATATCTTGTGCTTCTTCCTTGAACGCCTTTTTGTATGCTTTCATTTTCGAGCTACTATCTTAAAGTTACATATACACACATACCTACTTACAAACGTAAAAATGTTACGTGTGTCAAGTTAGCACTACACTTTTCGAAATTGGAAAAGTTAACTACGGCATTAATTGTAGTGTTTTTGTTGTAAATTTGTTGTGGAAAGAAAAAATTTGTAGCTCTCGTTTTTTAAGAAAAAATGGTATGTAGTGCTAACTTGACACACGTAAAAATGTTAGTTTATGAGTGTGTGTGTGTGTAAATCACGTGCGTGCGCGATTATTTATTTGTCGAGCTTACAGTTTTATGAAGGTTATTAAATAAGTGGCAGGCAGTCATACAAAAGTAAAAATG